GTAAGTAAATACCTAGCAATGAAAAGTTTGTCTCTGAAGACAACTTCATTTTTTCTCTCTCCTGGTCAAATTAGGCGGCAGGCAGAGATCTTTGTGTTATTGGCGGTGCATGTCTTGGAGGTTGACAGTGACACAGTGGGACTAATATGGGGGTTTGGGGCAGGTATTCACACAGAGCCGGCGATGGAAGGATCATGCAGACATGCTGAAGCAATATGCCACTTGCCTGAGCCTCCTACTTCCCAAGTACAATGTCACTGAGCCCCAGATCTACTTTGATATTTGGGTCTCCATCAATGACCGCTTCCAGCAGAGGTGGGCAAGGGGAGCAGAGACAGGGGAAGATGAAGCACAGTTATTTTTGCCTAGTGAAAAGCTGAGGTCTCCCCAGTTGTCTTGCTTGTACAAGTCTGTTGTCTCTCTCAGTCTAGTAGTGCATGTGGGGATTGATCTGGTTGTGGGCATAGCTGGTTGTGTCCAGCAGGGGGCACCATCATCTAGGAGAAAAGTGAACTGGCTGTTTCAGACACTGTTAACACATGCCTTCTCTTCAGGTGGCCACTAACTCACATTCTTTTCCCTTCTCTCTGCCCTGGACTGGCAATAACACATGGACAGCAGCATTTCTCCTTTTGGGAAACCCTATTCCCTCTCTGCGGGGTTCAGAGGTGAAAGGAGCAGAACAGAAATTTGGTGGGTGGGTGGCCGTGGCCTCCTCAGAACATGGTTTCTTTTTCTAAGGCTTTTTGACCCTCGTGTGGACATCGTGCAGGCTGTCTGGTCCCCCTTCCAGCGCACACCGTGGGTGCAGCCACTCTTGATGGACTTATCTCCCTGGAGGACCAAGTTACAGGATATTAAGAGCAGTCTGGACAACCACACTGAGGTGGTCTTCATTGCAGATTTCCCCGGTATGAGGAAAGTGAGAGGAGCTTTCCCATCTTTCCGTGGCTTCCTTGGCCAGAGACACTGCCTGTGATGGGGTAGGGAGGGGGCTGTGTAGGTGAAAGGTGTATTGTCTCTGTTCTCCTGATGTGGGGTGGGATGGTGAACTCTCTTGCCCCTGGCAGGGCTTCACCTGGAGAATTTTGTGAGTGAAGACCTGGGCAACACTAGCATCCAACTGCTGCAGGGAGAGGTCACTGTGGAATTGGTGGCAGAACAGAAAAACCAGACTCTTCAGGAAGGAGAAAAAATGCAGGTATTTTCTGGGGCTGACAGTGATAAAGAGAGGGAATTTAGTACCACAAAACAAGAACTTTAGAAGTGGTATGAAGTTTAGGTGAGCAGGGTTTATTACCAAAAAAAAAAAAAAAAAATCTTTACCAGCACAGTAATGGAAGCATATGGCTGTCAACTTCAGGACTTGGGAGTCTGAGGCAGAAAGACAGAATTACAGGCTAGTCTGGACTACACAGTGAGACTGAACTCAAAACACTATTAAACACTGGGAGAAGAAAAAAAAAAAAGACCCCTGAGGCTGTGAACAACTTTATCTATATTCTGGAGGCCATTACTTCGGAGTCCAAGACACAGGAAAAGAGAGTGCCCCTAGGATTAGAGTAGTGAGGCCATAGGCTAGCTAGGGAAGTTAGAATGGGATGTGTCTTTTGTTTCCTCCTCAGTTGCCTGCTGGGGAGTACCATAAAGTCTACACTGTATCATCTAGTCCTTCCTGCTACATGTACATCTATGTCAATACTACTGAGGTTGCACTGGAGCAAGACCTGGCCTATCTGCAAGAATTAAAGGAGAAGGTGGAGAATGGAAGTGGTGAGTGCATGAAAGTCTGCAGTTTCAGAAGTCAGGTTAGAGGACTTAAACCATGTACAGGAGTGCTTGATGCCACCAGTTGTTTGGAAAGGGCTTATCTGAATGAGAGCGGTTCATCTCATTGGTTCCTTTTTGTTGTCTTCTGAACAGAAACGGGGCCCCTGCCTCCAGAACTTCAGCCTCTTTTGGAAGGGGAAGTAAAAGGGGGCCCTGAGCCAACACCTCTGGTCCAGACCTTTCTGAGACGGCAGCGGAAGCGCCAAGAAATAGAACGCCGGCGAAATAGCCCTTTCCACGAGCGACTACTTCGCTTCTTGCTGCGAAAGCTGTACATCTTTCGACGCAGGTAAGTTTGACTCACCCAAGCATTTGTCCTTGCCATTAGGTGTTTTTAAGTTTGGTTCCTTTGCCTTAGTGAGGGTTAATAGTAGGGACTCCTAGGGATCTTACCCCCTCTGTTCTGTTTAACCTCTTCATGGTTATTCCTCTTCTACCCTAAAATCTTGTCAGGCTTTGTTATGTATTAACATAAATTTAGACAATGTTTAACTTTTTTTTTATTTTCAGCTTCCTGATGACTCGAATTTCACTCCGAAATCTGCTATTAGGCCGCCCTTCCCTAGAGCAGCTAGCCCAAGAGGTGACATATGCGAACTTGCGACCATTTGAACAAGTTGATGAGTCAAGTGCTTCAAAAACTGATTCATCAAATCCTAATCCCTCAGAACCAGATTTTGAGCATGTGCACTCTGAGTTCTGAGAAGTCCAGATGTTCTGTGCAGGTGTGGGGTGGTCTGTTACAGGCTTATCATCTATGCAAAGGACATTTTTTTGGCAAAATATAATCTATTTTGAGACAGGCTTTCACAATACAGCCCAAGTTGGCCTCAAACTCACGGTAGTTCCTCTGCTTCAGCCTTGTGATTACACGTACATCACTAAACATAGGGTTTTTTTCTCCCTTTACATGTTAAAGATGACAGGACCCGAGGCAACAGAGAATTTGAATCTCAAGATTGAGGGCTTCTAGGAGCAATACGAACTGTCCTCTTAAAGGATTAAGTCAACTTTGTTCTCATTTTTTCAATACAGGGTTTCTCCAACCTGTCTCTGCCTCCCAAGTGCTGGGATTAAAGGCATGGGACATCACTGCCTGGCTTATAATAGTCATTTTTAAGTTGACTGGCTCTTCAGGAAAAAAAAAAAAAATTTACAATGAATATAGCAGAACCCACGTGCTTGCTGTGTACCTAATACTGTTTGAAGCGGTGTACTTGAATTATCGTATCTAGTACTTTGAGCATTGGCCTTATTTTCACTTTACCTTTGAAGAAAGGAAATCAGATAAAATTTACCCAAAGGCATCCAGGAGTGGGTTGAAAATTTTAACTGAAATCTGTTGCCCTATACCCTGCTGCTTATAATTTTCAGAGCCAGACAGTAAAGCTAAAGCAGCATAGCTTAAAACTCGTGTTAATTCCAAGTGATTAGGATGATCAAATACTAAATGCACAAATTAATTTTATGTTTACAGTTCCTATTTGTAGTCAGCAAGTTTTGTAGTACCATTCAGTGGCAACAGAATAGCAGTACCAAATAGGGAAGCCAGATGGCTCTAGTATAAATCGGCTTAGTGAATGGTACCCAAGTCATGGCCGAGTCATAAGCCTTGAGGTTTTCCCTTTTCCTTACATTTGTCAAGCCTCATGTCCATCTTCTATTCATCTTATTTTTATCTCTACTACCCCTTTATTCCTTCACCCTTTATATTGGAATCTAGTTAGGAACGCCACCTTTTAAAAAGTCCAGCTTAATGCATAATTGCATCTAGCTGATGGCCATGCACAGGGAGCTCTCATCATTTTCTAACAGAAAAAACACTCGTTAACATTTCACTATCTTCCTTTAAAATAACACTGTGAAATACAACTTGGCACCATATCCTTTCCAAGGTCAGCCGTTTCCTTAACCTGTCATCCTTGGCTAGTAGGGAAAAAGTTTTTGTTCAGGACAGTTGTCTTTCATGCAAAAGTACTTAAGTTTGTACAAGGATAATGCTTCCATGTTGATTTACTACAAGACTTTCCCAAGAAAAATGTCGGAATGAATTAAGTGGAAATGAGATCATTAACTTGTTAAGCTGCTTGGGCTAGAGATGGAGCTCAGTTGATAGAGGACTAGTCTACTGTGTACAAAGGCCTAGGTTTGGTCCTCACCACTGCTTAAGTGGGGGCTCTGGTGTACATCTGTTGTCTAAGCAGAGGCAAGATCAGTTCAAGACCAGCATGGGAAGGGAGACCCTATCTGGTTGGAGAAAGCTGTAATAGTATTGCCAAAGAAGTTAGGTTATACAACTAGTAGAAGCCTAGAGTCCTAGCTTTGAACATCCAGCCAAATTACCCTATTTCACTATCTCTAGCAAACACTTCATGTTTGGCCTTAAGTCTTGCACTCCTGCTTCTACTCTCTTCCTTCTGTTCTCCCTGGCTTAAGCTTGTGTTTATGCATTTAATATTTCCAAACATACTTGGCCCTGTTACTGTTGTGAGCCAAACTGGGATTTTTAAGACTTCTAAGAGGGGGCAGGAAGATCATGAAGTTCCCAGAACCACCACCCCTTTTCTTTTGAGGGACAGGGTTTCTATGCAGTTCTGAATTCAGTAGTCTAGGCTGGCCTCACCTTCAAGATCTGCCTGTCTCAGCCTCTTGGAGTGCTGGGATTAAAGGCATGTACCACCACTGCCTAGCTTGACACCGCTTAACTTTCTTTCCCTTTTAATTACATTTTTATTTATATTAGTTCATTCACTTTGTATCTCAGCTGTAGCCCCATCCCAATCCCACCCTCCCTCATCTCCAAGTCCATGGATAGCCACTGAACTTTTATCAGATACCACAGCAAGGTTTGTTTGCCATAAACTACACTTTTGGCAAATTAATTACTAATTTAATAAATTTAAAAAGGCTAGCCTTGAACTCAACAATCTACTTGCTTTAGCCACCTGAGTGCTTATCGGGAAGAAAGGCACTTTAAAGCCCATGGACATGTAAGTGTTGACTTCCAGGATTATGTTGTTGACTATGAATAAACACTATTTATCCTGACCTCCACATGCACTGTGATGTATGGACCTGGTTGAAAACTTTATTGCTGGCAATGGGTGGCAGGTGCTGTAAGAGGACATAAAATTTAACTCAGAAAGCATTAATGGACAAGTGATGGACAGTTTGGGTAGAACCTAGCATTTTTTATTTAGATCTTCATTAAACTGTTGGAATTGAGAACCAGACATACGTAATAAACCTCCAAAAATAGATCCTGAAAGGCACTTTCTTGCTTAGGGCAAGCAGTCATGGAATAAGCATGTAAACAAGCTGGCTTCTCTGTACCACACCAGCCAAGTCAGCTTTCTCCATGGCCAGCTGCACCAGCTCTGCCCTCTCTTCTGTTAACACCAGCCAGACCCCCTGTAGGTCTAACCCAAGGTTTTTCTGTAGGACACCTTGGCCTACCTGGGAATGCTGGAAACATGTTAAAGGAATCATGGTGTTGAGAAAAAAAAATTTTAAAAGCTGCCATCTGAGGTGATGGCTTCTCTGTACTTACGCCATACCACAGAATACAATAAATAAGCAATTAGAAAATGTTCAAGTATGAAGGGATTTCCTCCTCCCCGCCAAAAGCACTGCTCTCTGAAGGAAGCTGGTTTCTCTGTAGCTACACCAGCTGTTCAGAAAGCTCATTGGACCTGGTTTTGAAAATAAAACAAAGTTAAAACCCTGGGAGGAGCTATTGTGCAGTGTGGAGTACTGTCTTTCTTATAAAGAAAAAAAAAAAAAAGTTACCTGGTACCAAAGTGTGCAACCTACAGACCCTCAGGTACTGCCCTGTGACTTCTCTGTATGACATCACAAGGGTGCCAAGTGCCTGTTTTTCTAGACTAGAAGTTGGTGAGGTTTGGCTAGTGCTGAAACCATGCATAGGATTGGTTTACTAAATAAAACCTTATTACGTACGTCCTCCAAAGACAGCTGAAAAGTGGTAAGATTTCTGACTTGGTGCTGTTTAAGAGGTGGCAATGAATAGCATAAGCACCAGGGAGATGGTTTAATTGTAACTGCCTTTTTTAAGTCAGGCTAGAGCTCCAAGTGAAACTTCTGTTTCATGCAAGATTGACTGGACAGGAACACTCCCTGACAGAAAGAACTACATAATTAGAAAGGACTGAGTTACAGGGAGGTATAAGGGAAGGGACTTCACATTCAATAAATAAGAGCTCAGGACATTACAAATTCATGCTGACAGGGCTGTGGCATTGCCAGTCTATAGTCAAACTACAAGTACTTTACGTGCACATTACAAGGACATTTTCAGCATCTGGTGGGAAAGTAATTGCAATTAGGACTTTGGAGGACTAGGTGATAGGGCAAAGGTTCGATTTCAAAGCATTATTCACTACAGTGTTTGTTTCTAGGCAGTTACATGGATCACCTATGCTCACTATATCCATTATAATGGTGAACAAAACCCCTAGGGACAGAATAGCAAGCCCAACTTACAGTCCCCCACAAAAGCTAAAATTCATGTCATTGATTAGAGTGACTGCAACTGATCAGGAGCTGAAAGAGGACAGAAAAATTTAGGAAGAAGGCCCTTTCCCTCAGAGCTTGAAGGCTTCTCTGTAGCCTACGCCAACAAGTCTGGGGAAAAAAGGCTAACACTTTCAGTATTTAAGCTTTTTGGGCACTTCCCATGGGAAGCTGTCCCTACCAAAGTGGCCATAGGCTGCAGTCCTCTGATAAATTGGCTTCTTCAGATCCAGATCCCTGGAATATACAAGTTCATAACTTAATACGTAGCATTAAATTAAAACAAAGCAAAACAATCAGCAAGACTCATTTCAAGAGCTCTGGCAAGTGAGTTCAGTTCTCCCTGGGGTTTGCTAGGAAAAAAGTTCATGGCAAAAGTGTTACTTTTTACTTCCCTTGTGTCCAAATTCTTTGCAGTCCTTATTAGTAACTATAGTTGTTTTCCAGCCCTGGCTTGACAAATATGAAAACTTATTCTCAGAAATTCCACTTGTACTTACCAAGATCCAATTACTGCCCACTATGGTTTTTTCTTTGTAACTTTGAACATCCCACCATAGCTCATTATTTCTTAATGTAGTTAAGATAACAAAGCTCAGAATTAACCATAGAGAACTTTCTAGGATGTTATTCTAAGTCACAGAACAGAACACGAGGTCCCTCTCCAGGCAATTTAAAATATCGGCATATTCCAGTTAAAATTTGTTCCCGACACAATGAGTCTACCTTCATCTAAGATTTCGGTGTGTACATGCCCACCACCCTCCTATTTCTCACTAGCAATAGGCTTTACCATCTTTACCTGACAATGACCCCAGGGCGAAGATCAAAATTCTTCTTTACAATTTCTAACAGCTCTCTCTCACTCTTCTGAGAAGTACCATAATGGAAAATGGAGATCGACAATGGGTGAGAAACTCCAATAGCATAAGACACCTAAAAGTCAGTGATACATTATTATAAAACAGGGAAGTATATAGAATATTTTAATGAATACCCTTCTCCCCTGTACATATTCACTACATACCTGAACAAGAACCCTTCTGCACAGACCTCCTTTAACAAGGGATTTTGCTACCCAACGGGCAGCATAAGCAGCTGAGCGGTCCACTTTGGTATAATCCTTTCCTGAAAAGGCCCCTCCTCCATGAGCTCCCCAACCACCATAAGTATCCACAATGATTTTTCGGCCAGTCAAACCAGCATCACCCTGAAATTATAGGATTTAAGTTATAATCTTTTCTTTTTGATTTTTTTCAAGACAAAACCTGCTTTGTAAACCAGGTTGGTCTCTAACTCACAAAGATCAACCTGCTGCCATGATAAAAAATGTGTATCACCCACGCCTGGCCATATTATCTTTCAACTAAGTGGTTCTTGATTAAGCTATTAGGAATCATTTAAGATTCCTGTGCAGCCAACACTAGCTCACACCCAGAACCCCAGCACTTGGGAGGCTGAGGCAGGACAAAATGTTGAAGGCTAGCTGCACAGTCATGACATCAGAGTCACAGTGAATTCTAGGGTACTAGGCTACACAAGATACGATGCATGTGTGGTGGGGAGTGCGTGAGAGTTGGGTAGCTAGGAAAAAAAAAAAAAAAGATGGTGGTAGCCAAAATTTAAGTAACAAATAATAAACAAAGCATTTAATATATTACCTGAGGTCCACCTATAACAAATCTTCCACTTGGCTGTAGATGGTAAATTGTATCCTCATCCAGGTATTTCGCAGGTACAACAGCTTTGATCACTTTTTCCTTTAGAGCATCCCTCATTTCATCAAGACAAACTTCCTCATCATGCTGAACAGATATAACAATTGTGTGGACTCTGATGGGCAGCACAGCACCTCGATCTTGCATATACTGCACAGTCACCTTGAATACAAAATAGATCAGAACACTTGTTCAACCAAACAGCTCTAGTAGTGGGTTCTCTACCCTGAGTTTAAATATAGCAAAAAGAAACAAATGAATTGTAATGTAATTTGAGACAAACACAGGTTTAAAGATCACCACTTACTTGAGTTTTAGAATCTGGACGTAACCAAGGCAACGTGCCATTGCGGCGTAGTTCAGCCAGTTTGGCATTGAGCTTGTGTGCTAAGACGATGGTTAAAGGCATGCACTCTTCGGTTTCATCAGTGGCATAACCAAACATCAAACCCTAAAAGAAGGGAAAAGTGATCAACCCAAGCTTCAGATTTTAGTGCTAAAAGAGATGTCAATAAACTATCACAATACCTGGTCTCCTGCACCAATGTCTTCCTCATTCCGGTCAAGATGAACACCTTGGGCAATATCTGGTGACTGTTGTTCCAAGGCAACCAACACATTACAAGTCTTGTAGTCAAACCCTATAGTCAAACACACGGTATTTCAACTGACAACTCCAAGATGCTAACAGTAGTGCTGCATTGCTAGCAATTTAGACATGCTAAAGCAAAGTGGTCAAGCACTTCTTTAAATGAAAGGGTAAAGTGAAAGGGAAAAAAAATACTGATGGCAACAAAGATCTATGACACAGTATTTTAAGAGACCACATTCATATTCACATAATTAACCCCTCTATATTATGGTTTGAAACAAGGCGTAACTTGGCTAGCCTAAAACTACAACTGCTAATGCCTGCCTGACTTCCAGAAGCTGAATTTATAGGTGTATCATGTCTGGCCATTCTACTGACATGAATCTTTTATTTGTAGGACAGGAGACTTCTTATACACTGATTGTTACACTTTAGAGAACAGAACTGGCTGAATCAGAAGCAGAGAGGATATGGTTAATGCAATCAGTAAAGAACATTCTAGAAGTTTCTCCCACCAGCATCAGATTCTATGCCTGCAAAAAAGCTTATAGGAAAAGTGCATCTTTAAAACACACCTTTGGAAGAATCATCATATCCAATGTGTTTAATGGCTTCACGAACTACTTTCTGGTAATCAATGGCAGCTCTGGACGTAATTTCCCCAGCAAGAAGGATCATTCCAGTTTTAGCAACAGTTTCTAATAAAACAGAAATTTATACTTAAAATATTAATGAGTGGAGAGGAATTGAGGAATTTAGTCATGTTATACATGCTATATCCCCAGGCTTCAAGATCTATTTTTGATACAAGGTCTTACTAAATTCCCCACATGGACAGTTAATTTGCTACCTCCAAGCTTCACCCTCCTAAGTAGTTGGCACTACAGACCCATCCCACCAGGATTTAATTCAAATGCCCTCCTTTCCATTCCCAAACAAGTGTTTTGTTCTCACCACAAGCCACTTTGGCATCAGGGTCCTGCTGAAGGTGTGCATCAAGAACAGCATCACTGATTTGGTCACAGATCTTATCTGGAAAACAAAACAAAAAATCCCTGACTCACTATAACTATTAGTGTTAAGCCTATCTACCTACCATGTAACTCGCAGTTTCCATCCTACCTAAGGGCCAAGTATAGCTGTGAATTTGTAGATGACAAAATCTTATCATGATGTCAAGACTACAGTCTTGATTTTTAAGATAAACGGCATTATTTGTGCACACACAACACAGCCTTGTGCCATGGCATTCATGCAGAGAACAGAAGACAACTTAGGCCCTCTGCATTATGTGTCCTAGGTCCCAGGAACTCCAGTCACAACAGCCTTGCAGCAAGTACTCTTAACCCTCTGAGAAATCTCACTTGACCTACCCACACAACTCGGAAGCGAACAATTCTTCATTTTATGAAGTATGGAGAAGATCTTAACTGTTTATTAGGAGCTATTTGGTCAAATAATTAAGTTGATTTTGACAGGGATGTATGCTACTTGAAAACTTGCTAGGTGGCCTTAATATATAACTACACAAGCTTATCAATTCAGTTAACCCAGAACTTTCAGCACATTTAATACATCCTACTTCATTATAACTTAAACCTATTCAGTTCCACCTCTAACCACTTCAGATAATTTTCAAACAAGTTCCCAGCCAAATGAACAGCCATGTAAACTCAGATTTATCAAGTCAAAGTAGAAATGGTGATTTATCTTGAAAGCCCAAAGCCTACCTACCCACACCAGGAAATAACAGTTATTTAACAGTGTATTTTAAAGACAATTGTTCTATTCCATCCCCATTTAAAATTCTTACCAATTTCTTAGAACAAGCCATTTCCCCTATTAGACAATATTCAGTTCCTTAAGTTATGTAACTAGTAACAAACCTCTGTATTTGGAGTTCTGAATGAACCAAGGCCCTATATATACCAACCATTCTAACCTTAAATAACACTAACAAATTAGAGAAACAAAGATTTAAAAAAAATATTAGCCATGAAAATAATTCATAACTATAAACAGAAGGAGTACCAGCAAGAGGGAAACGATAGAGAAAATGTTCAAATGCATTCTAGAGCACATTCCATTTTTCCTTGACTATGACAGTACCCTGGATTGGAACGTCTTGCATGTAGCCCAGGCTGGCCTCAAACTTCAACCTCTTGCCTTCACACTAAATGATGGATTATTAAAGTGCACCACAGTGCTTGGCTCCAGGGTCCTGAATTTTTACTACCGCAGCCATACAGCCTTAAGACCTTATTTATCAACTGAAACAAGCAGTAGCTCATTCGATGTGGGGACATAGCCCTTTCCTGGGGGGCGGGGGGGCAACCACGGCAACACTTGACTTGATCCTCCTCCTGGGTTTTTTCTTTTTTACTAAGAGGCTTCTGTCAGAGCATGTAGTTATGTTGCTGTGCGCCCAAGGCCAGGAGCAGCTCAAACAGGGTATTGTTTACTAGACGGCACCTTCAGCCTGAGACTCAGAGATAACAGCTTTACTGTAACCGATCTCATCATGGCGGTTCGGTGGACAAAGCCTTGCAAGAAGAAAACGTGAAATAAACCTTCCTTAAGTGCCAAAGGCAAGACTCTGAAAGGAAAACGAATGCGATGGGCGCCTGCACTTATTTCACGTTACCCATCTTTTTCAGACTCCAAATACGGAATGCCCTCTCCAGCTCGCGCTATATTTAGTCAGCGGCTGTTTGTCACCTTGAAGGCCTAAGGGCATGTCCACCCACGTTCTTAAAGCAGTTTCCGAGGCCGGAAGCCACGGAGACAAGGAGTTTGGGGACACCAGCGCCCACTTCAAAGCCCGGGGG